TATATATATATATAAACTATATGGCCGCAATTGATCACAAAGTGTAGAATACAAGACCAGATCTAAAATTCTGTTACAGTGATTAGTCAAAACATTTCCTTCAGTAAATTGTGTTACTGCAGTGGCAGATTGTTTCACTTAGTTTCAGAAGATTCAAACTCAAATTAAGTGAAATAATCTGACAGTGGAATGAGACTTCATGAAATAAGGAAAATTTACAGGCTAACAAAATTTATAATCCAACCTAGTTTGCTCTTGTTTAGTAAATCAGTCTCAAATCAAGATCAAAAATACTTTTTGGATGGATATAAAATTACAAAACTTTGTTGGAAAAGAGCTTTAATTTTAAAAACCCATCAAGTGTCTAGTGCTGCACTTCATGTTACTGAGCTGAGGTTTCATTTTTAAGCTGTAGTATAACTCGTTAGCTGCCTCAGTGTTGGTATTAGTTGTATTTTATTACTTTACTTAACTAAAAGTGTCAGACAAAAGCTCATGCAGCATGAAAAAAAACAGAACCCTTGGGTATAAAAACTTTTAAAAAATCCAAAGGTTAAAATGTGAATGATTCCAAGAAAATTGACACATTAGTCCCAAGTCCAATTGATACTTGAAACTGAATACCCAGCCCTGTCGAGTTGTGGTGCGTACCATGTTTAATTCTGAATTGGGGTAGTTGGAAGTTTCTCCCACATTCTGATCGGAGACATTCCAGTTTAAATTTACAACTTGTAAGTGGGGAAATTTCCACTTCCCAGTTCAAATGGGGTACAGCCAAAGCAGCCATCAAAAATGCAGCAAAATGGAGATTTTACACTTTTTGTTGGCCACTGACTACTTTAGAACCCCGTGTACCACATTTTGGTGGAATGCCATCATTTTGCCAATAAAATAATCAACATTATGCACGATGCATGGTCATTGCAGCTTTAAGGCTGCGTAGACTTCCTTTGAGACATTAATCTATCTTTGAAACTCTCGTGGGGCACATACAATGCCATGGTGGGCCACATTTGTCCCATGGGCCTTGAGTTTAACATGTGGCTTAGAACTTCGACAATAACTCTTGGTATCAACTATGTTTGTCTATGAAYAAAATAGCTCATGGACCTATAAAAGGGTTTTAATAAAACACTTTTCTGTGTTGGTCTTTTTATGGACTGGTGACCCATTCAGGATGTCCACCCCCCATTTTTGTTAGATGACTGGGGGTGCTCCAAAACCTCCCTGATACCCGTTACCCTGAACAAGATGAAGCGAGGAGATAAAATGAGTACATACCATGTTTTCCCAGTTTTACACAACTCGTTTTTTTAACTGGTGTGCCAGTTGGTTTCCAAGAGTAAAAACACTCTTAAAGGAAACATATAAACATTCATTTTAATGAGTAGTTTAGCCATTAACGCCGCTTGACTAGTTTCTAAACCTAATGATATCTGTCCTCTGTAGGAAAAGATGTCAAACTTTGACACACACACCTAATTTATGATGTCTTTAATGTTGGCAAAAAGAAGTGAAGCATGTGTTMCCTCTTCTGGAAATGAATGTGTCTTCTGGTTGAACAATTTCAAACTACTGAAATGAGCCAGTGAAATCATGAAGTGTGGAAAGTATCAATTAAAATCATGTATAAATCTTAAACATTTCTGTATTTTGTAACTTACAGAGAAACAGATCTATAAAGGTTTAGAATAATTGTAAAATAAAGCAGGGAGTCAGTGTCAACATTTAATGCATTTTTTAAATCATCTGAATTTTAGGGAGTTTTCAATATAATTTTCCACCAACGTGTAATCACCAGAGTAAACATGTGTGTGGATGTGTTTGGAGGACACAACAGCAGATCAAAGAGCCAGGTCAGGACTGGTTATTGTCTGTGTGTGGGTGCAGGAAGTCTCTATCGTGACGAATGGGTCTCTGCCTCTAATTAGAGGACCRAACACACATACACACAATGAAAGACACACATATAGAGAGTGGGATTCAAGCAATGTATACACTATTATTTTTTCTTAAGAAGGAATAATGTTCAAGTTTGTCAGCAAATACAAAACTCTGAAGATAATTTAACTGCCCTCCATTATTTGTATTTAGATTTATAAGACCTTTATTATTATTATTATTATTTGGTTTGGCAGCTTTTTCACTCATTGTCTATACGGTTCTTGTATCTGATCAAAACATGGTGCTTAATAATGTGGAAGCTGGCAAGTGGAGCAAAAAACAAGGAGAAGAAGAAAAAAAGAAAAAAAGATGAAGCCTGAAACATTTCTCCAAAAGTCCTGCTAGGACCTGACACTGGATCTGTGAGAATAATCATCATCCCAAATCTACTGTAAATGTTTTATTTAATTATAGTGTTATCTTTTACATTTGGAGTAGATGTAGCTAAAGAAAGTCTTTGCCAAGTTCCCAAATGTTTAAGRTTTGTATTTGACTGTCATGACCCGTGTGTTTCAGCGTTTAGTTTTCTGTTTTGGGGTTTAGTTTCTTATTTGTTCTTTCTGTTTTTCTGCCATCCTCAACCTCTGCTCCTGAGTCCTGCTCCTCCCACTCACACCTGTTCCCCATTCCCATTAGTTTCAGCTGCACCAGTCCCTGCCTTTATATTCCTTTAATCTTTGTTCACCTACAGTTAATAGCATTGAGCTTTGTGCTTGTTTCAGTTCTCCTCAGTGCCTCCTTTTTATAACAACTGCTATCATTTTTGTTTTGTTTCTTTAATAAAACTGAGTCTTTGCTCAAGTTCCTTGCTTTTATTCCTGAGTCTGCCTCACTTGAAATATGGCAAAGTTGTCTATTATGTTTCAATGCAACACTGGTTTATTCCTTTTTAATATCATCTGTTCACACCTGAAGGGGATATTAAATTTAACCTGAATGAATTATATTTCAAAGTTAAATCAAAAGATATAACGTTAATAAAAAATACATTTGAGTATGACCAGGTGCTGGACTGAAAATGAGTACAAAAGCCAAAGCTGAAAGAGAATTTTAAAGTAGAAATATTGATCAAGACTAGTGTACGAATGTCTGTCTCTTTGAAAGCAAAACAGATACAAGACACAGGCCTACATTTATTAAAGGATATAATAAGTATGAGTTTGTTTAAAATCTGAAAAAAAAATCAATTGGCCTACAATATGATGTTATTTTTTTCTTATCAACCTGCTTTTGTTTAAGATGAAGGCAACTCGTGTCCAAATTAATAGTTATTTTCAAACGTRTGGCAATTATTAACTCTACACATGTTTAATTTATTATGAAGAAGTCTGGAGAGATGAAACGTTTCATTAAAGACGAACCCATCCAGAGGACCTATATTTATTTATTTTTTGGATTTATTACTATAACCTACTTAAAATGTAATTATTATGATGCATTTTTTTTCCTCTGTTGACCTCTAAAAGCGTGAATTAGAACAGTTGGTTTAGTTGCCACCTGTTCCCTTTCTTCCATTTTGTAAGGGGCTGACTTCCTGCGCGCGCACTCCGGGTTCTCTTTTTAATTGGTGCGCGCGCGCTGCTGTGTGAAGGTGGAGGTCTTGCTCGTTCGCTGCTGCGCCGCTCAGATCAAACTTGCTGTGTGGAAACTTTCAGGAACACCGTTTCATGTCAAGTAGTTCAAAGTAAGCGCTGCTCGCCCGACTCTCCCGATGTCCGACGTGGGAGAGGGAAGCGACGGGGGCGGCGGCGGGAGAGCCCATCTGTCGGAGTCTCCCTCGCCGCCTCTGTCTGTCAGTCTTCCCCGAGGATTGCCCTCCTCCCCGCGGCCCCTGGACTTCTTCTCCTCTGCCTCGCCGCTGCTGGGGGACACGGACCCGCCTTACCTCGCCTCCTCGGAGTGTTTGCACCCGTCTCCGGAGAGCCGGGAACTCGGGGGCTCCACTCACTTCACGCCACCAAAGTTCCGCCAGCGCGCTGCCGACACCGTCTCGACCTTCCTGTCGCGGYCAGATGTGCGAGTAGACGCGGGCTACGACGATGACCCGCTGCCTAAGTGGAGGGGACGGGTTTCGCCGAGCGCCGAGCTGCTTCAGCACCGCGGACAGAGGCTCCACAGGACTCCGGAGCTCTCGGACCACGGGAACCACCACTCTGCCGAGCACGACACCGAGTTCAACTCCGACACACGGCAATCGTAAGTCCTGCCTTTTCTTATGGAACCCTCATTTAAACTCTTTAATTTTCCCAACCATCTTTTTATTTATAAACTTTGCAATCAATGGTCTAAAACAGAGGTCTACAACCCTGCCTCGTGACTCACTGTCCTGCATGTTTTAGCTAGTTTTCTGGCACACCTGATTCAAATGATCAAATTACYTCCTCGTTAAGTTCAGCAGAAGCCTGTCAATCACTCTTTATTTAATTCAGGTGTGTTGAGTTTTATGGTTTAGATAATTTAATGGACACAATTTCCCTGCAATTTCAGAATTTTCACTTGACCAGTTGCACCAAGCCTATGGAGGATTGATTATGCACAGCTGTTTGCATCTATCAGGTGCACTTGACAGTAAATTAGCACTATTTTACTGTAGATTGATTAAAGCAAATTGTCCAGAAGAATATTTGAACTTTTAGTGCTTGTTTATAGGTTACTTGTGTTGACAGGTGGTAGGCCATCACATGGTTTAGCTAAAAAAATATATAAAAAATTACCACTATCCTCTCATTCTGTTGTCATTTTAGTGTATGTGTGTACAGGAAGTTGAGTTTGAATGGTTTCTGTTTTTTACCATTATAATGTCTTTTTACCCCCATGGGAGGACATTACACAAGCACCTGTTGGGTAGGCATTTGAGGCTAATTGGTTTTCGAAGTTCCATCCAATCAAAACAAGTCTCTACAGACCCACAAATCAGTATTACAGTCAGATAAACGCTCAAGAGACCATTGTGAGAGCACAGCCATGAGGGAAGCATCTGCAGAGGTTCAGAGAGACATGCATGGTGGCACAAAATTCTAACCCAGCATTTTCAGTTTACAGCAGCGACTGTCAGGAGTTGGGAACAGGCCTCACTGTTGGGTCTTTGATCTTCCCTCGTGTGCCTCTTTGATACACCAGTGTTCATTTTAAAAGGTTTTTGAACAAGTGTTTGCTTATTAATCCATGTGTCTGTTTGTGCAGGAGTGTTGTGTGAAATAAGGTGAGCGAGCCTGTTTCTCATTACCAGAGAGCTATGGTGAGGAGCTGACCTTTGATCCGAAAGCAGTAATTTAATGGTCAAGAAAAAAATGTTTCAATGTATGTGGGTGCATCATATACTGTATAAACAAGGAGTTCAAGTGTTTTTAAAAGTCTTGCTGATATTTCTGTTGAGCTAAAACATATTTTCATTCAATATCCTGCACATTTGACTTGAAATCAAGTTATCTGGCTAATTTTTCCATTTCTACTCTAGTTGACCTGTACATGAACTGACCTGAATGAATGATGCACTTATTACAAGTGTCTTGGTGACCCAAAAGTTCAAGATTGAAAATGAGGGCAATCTGAGCAATTAGAGATTAGTTGTGACATTTTTGTCTTGACTAAAATCTCACACAAAGAGATGTTTGGAAAAAATACACATAGTATGCCAATTATGTGTTGTTTTTTCCAGAGTAGCCTCCATTGAGCATAACATTAACTCTACAGAGTAGATGTGAACACCAATCATCCAGAATGAATGATCTCATTTAGGGTTTTGAAAATGATGTTTCTAATGGCTTCCCCCCTTGGGTGTCAATATCTGTTGAGCTCAGATGACAGCAAAGTATTAAACCTAAAGTTTAGATGAAATCCTTGATAATAATAACTGACCACTCATGCCCTAGAAGAGACCACTCTGGTCAGTGGTTCAGTCATGGTGAAATATAAAATAGAGTAATCCCTATACTTACTCATAATGTCCTGAATAGCTTTATGGTACCCTAATAAATGACTTATATTTAATAATGATAAGATGGAAGCACCTAATAAATCATTTGTAAACAGTTACAGTGCTAAAAAGGACAATGTTCTTTTCAATGTGAGACACCATTTATACTTTCCATTCTGATTATTTATGTATAGTCTGCATAATTTAAAATTTAAGCATCTAACATGTCAGGAAGTTATCTGTGTGTAAGCTCCATGGGCATTTGTAAATATAAAGTTTGTTTGGGCCTAAATTTAAAGCTGTTTAAATAAAATAAAATAAAATAAAATAAAATAAAATAAAATAAAATAAAATAAAATAAAATAAAATGACCAACAAGAGAAGAATTGCATTAAAAGTTTTAGCACTTGATCTTGTCCAGTCTGCTTCATTTTATGAAAATAGTATGTATGCCCAAGTTATGAACCCATTTATAAAGATTGAATGAGTCTTTTATAATTGTATCCTCATTGTAAAGTGGTACCTTATTTCCTACTGATATTATAGTAAACTTAGGCACATGGGACATGAAAAAATCCACTGGCCCCTAATAGGTGTTAACGATTGTACAACCTCAGATATTTATTACATGAGAAGTTATACAGTTTTATTATGTACTGATCAAAAAAATGAGGCCAAGTTAGAAAAGTATTGTTTAAAAAAACCAAACTGTGCTCCATAATTTCAAAGTTTATAGATCCACCTTTGGAAACAACTGTCTTCTCAATCATTACAACATTTCCCCCAGTTCTGTTCACAACATTACATCAGATCATCTATGAGCATTTGTTTATCAACAGCTGTCTTCAGGGCACACTGTATTATTACATTCAGTGTGAGGTCTGGACTGTAGGTCATTGATTCTTTTATTTTTTTCATTCAGTTGCAGATTTACTGCTGGTTTTTTATGACACAATTTGTCCTGTCCTTAACTGCCTTACTGACTCCCTTACATTTAACCCTTCTTTTACTTAAAGTATTAGATGTGAACTCCACTGTATTCAGTAAAATTCATAAAAGCTCAATAATTTCATGACTTCAAAACTAATTCCTAGGCTTTTGCCAAGCAACTATTCAGTGTTGTTTGTAGTTATGCTGATATAAACTAATAGAAGACTCTCTGAGTTGTATCTGGCTGTTCGCAGTTTCTTTAAGTGTTGTGCCGTCTGGCTTTTAGAGTAAACCAAGGGAGAATGGCAGCTGTCTTGCCTGTTTTTCCACTTGTGATTAATCTTTCWTGATGTTGAATAATGAGCTCTAAATTGTTTGGAACTGGCCTTCTAACCTTTCACTGATTGATGGGCAGCAACAGTTAATTCTAGTTGCTGATGCTTTCTTGATTTTGTAACAGACACAACTGAATGCTGAAAACCAGCAAAACTGCCAAAAAACCTCTGTTTTTCCAGAAGTGATTATCTTTGCTGAATATCAGTTTTTTAATGCATGTGATTAGCAGCACCTGTCTAATATTTACCTTTTTTGTTCAGTGTTTCCAGATTCTTGTCTTACTTACTTAATAAACAAAACAATGATAAAGTCTAACTAGTCATCTATTTTGTTTAAAGGGTTGTATTTACCTTTGTAGGCCTGGCGAGGTCCAGATGACTTTTGCTACTTTCTGATACTTAAACCTTACAAAGGGCTTATTTTCTCTTCATTATGTCTGTAGAATAAAGGTAATTACACAGAACACAATACTATTGATTTTTAAGTTTTTCTTTTAAATAAATGGTTCAAACAGGAATAAGAAGAAAATGAAACAACATCATTTTGTCTTTTCAGATAAGGCTTAAAGCTTGCCTTTTTCTTTTTTGTTCCTTCTTTTTTCAATTTAATGTCAGGACCATTTTTATATGTAAAAAAATGTTCCATGCATTTTAATTCGCTTTTGCCTGTGGTCTTAAGCACAAGTGTATTACATAGAGTAAACTGTATTGCAGGATTATCAGTGGTGTTTCTTATTTATCACTGAAAGTAGTATTTGCTTTACAGCCAGCTTAAGCAAGTAATTGATCACCATGTTGAACTGATAATRAACCTGAACATATCACACAAAGAGGAAAGTTTTAGTAAATCTATTCTGTCCAAGAATGTCAAAATCCCCCACTAAGGTCTGAGGTACATGTTTGATCACATCTTTGTTGCAAAAACTGATCTCAAGCATTCAGACAAAAAAACCTGTGGTTAATGTGCATCCCTGTGTGATCGCCAAATTCAACATCACATAAAATATGTAAACCAATATATGTATTTATCCATTCCTTTATTGAATAATACTTCTTCTGTCCCACAAGCAGGGGACAACATTCTCTATCTATCCATCTCCACTGTGTGTGCGCCTCTTCATGCTCATCACTGTAATTCCAGGCTGAAAAAAATGCAGACAAATTCCATTTTAAATCCAAATCACAGCCAAAGATAGATGGAGAGAGAGACACTAAATGATGGGAAAAGGCAATTCATTATACCTGACTATAAGGTTATCCAAATGGGCTGGCAGACAGACTGTCCCTCTGTTTCTGTGGAATCATCTGTGTTTTCCAGATGCTGCATGTCTCTAAGGGTGTCTGAGAGTTTGTGTTGAAGTGCGTGTTGAAGAATAAATGAGATACCCCTCCGACCATAATGTTTTATAATAAATCAAAGGACAAACTGCAGCTTTTGAATAAACAGAAAATACAAAAACAATGACAGCTTTACACAGTAACACATTCCACAGGTTTTGTTTGTATTGGTTTGTAAACCAATTTAAAGGTGATTTTGTGTTCRCAATCACACTTAGACTGGAACTGTTTGCRTAAAAGAAACAGAGTAAAAAGGAAGCTTGTTTTTCATCTTGCAGTGATTGACAGACTGAGCCGTACACGATTGRTTGTGTAAATCAAAATGAAAACAATGCAGCGCTTTCATACTATTTAATCACACTCTGATGTGTATGTACATTCACACACACAGTCCTGCTCTCACATGCACAAGAGATTTGCTTYGGTGAGCTTGCTTCATTTTCTCAGCTTCACATCCTTAGGCACCCCATGGGTGAAACTATATCTACCATGAACAGATTTTCATTTTCACCTTTTACTTCAGTATCCTGCTTTCTGACCACACACACACACACACACACACACACACACACACACACACACACACACACACACACACA